GCTTTCATATTCATTTGGCTGTAAGACACTTGTGATTTTTTTTTTGATTTCTTTCTTGACTCATTGATAGTTTGATAATGTGTTGTTTAATTTCCACATTTCTGTATATTACAGATTTTTTTTCTATCATTCATTTCTAGCTCAATTCATTGTAGTCAGAGAAAATACTTAATATGATTTCAATCTTCTTAAATTTATTGAGACTTCCTTGTGACCTAACATGTGGTTTTTCCTGGAAAATGATCTATGTGAATGGTATTTTTTTGAGTCAACACTTTTGAAGAGTATTGGTCAGTTGTTTTGTAAAACATCTCTTAATTTGAGTCTGTCTATTTGTTTCTCACTGTAAGACTAAGGTTACACATTTTTGGTAAAAATATCACAGAAGTGATGTTCTGTCTTCAGTTCATCATAACAGAGCATGTGACAAGAATATATTAACTGATCACTTTGTTAAGAAAATTTCTTCAGGTGACAAATATTTTTTTTTTCAGTTAGTAATTAATAAATAATTTAGGGTAAGTAGTGAATATAAAATAAATTGTAGTCATTACTGTCATTGTTATTGTTATAGTAGGTTTTGGGAAAAACATGCACCAAAGTTTCTTTGAAAACAAACAACATAGTTTATGAAGATCACAGTTAGTAAAGAATTTCTAACTATCACCTATAATTCAGGAATATTTAATGTACAATTATTGCAAATAAGCTAATAAATAATAACAGATATAGAGAATACTAAATATTAAAATGTTCTAAAGTATGTATTTTGGGTACTTTTATGTTCAAAACCAAAACACCAAACCCACTCCCATTGAGTCAATTCCAACTCATAGTAACTTCTATTAGGTTTTCAAGGCAGTAAATTGGGAAATCCTACTTCCGTAGTGATACTGCCTAGGAAACCCAAGGAGGGGTCACTATGAGTCGGGGCCGACTCGACGGCAAATAACAATAACAACAATCTTTATGAAAGTAGATTACCCTATTTTCCTTCTACATAGCAGCTGGTGGGTTTGAACTGCCAACATCTGGTTTGCAGTCAGATGCTTTAGGTACTATGCCACAAGAGATCCGTTTTATGTTCAACTCTTTTCAAAACAGTATGTGTTTTGGTAGCACAATGTATTATGAAAAATAACTATAAACTTGGTTATTACAAAAAAAATAAATAAATCATGTATTTGCAATGGATATTGCTTACTTGTAAAAATATAAGTGAATTAAATTTAATATTTGTAATTTATGCATTTTATAAATTTTTTCTGAAAATATGTATTATATTTGTTTTAAGGGAAAAATGTCTACAGTTAAGTATTTTATTATTTGTATCACATATAAACTACATGTAAAGTACATAAATTACATGTTTATTGAAGAAACCTTAGAAATAGGTAAGAACATTAGCCATTAGAGAGATGCAAATCAAAACAACAATAAGATACCATCTCACCCCAGCAATAGTAGCAAAGCAAACAAGTCAGAAAATAACAAATGCTGGCAAAGCTGTGGAGATATTGGAACTCTCAAATACTGCCGGTGGGGCTGCAAAATGGTACAACCATTGTAAAAAATGGTATGCCGTTTCCTTAAAAAACTGAAAATAGAGATACCATTTGATCCAGCAATTACATTACTAGGAATATATCCTAAAAACCAAATATATTTGATATCATGTATTGGATATATAAAGAGGTTAGAGAAGGGCATGAATAGACATATGCACACCCATGTTCATCGCAGCACAATTCACTATAGCAAAGAAATGGAAACAACATAAATGCCCATCAACAGAAGAATGTATAACCAAACTATGGTACATTCACACCATGGAATACTATGCAGCATTAAAGAATAATGAAGAATACACAAATCACTTCACAACATGGATGAATTTAGAGGACGTTATGCTGAGTGAAATAAGTCCATCACAGAAAGACAAATATTTTATGAGCCCACTATTGTAAAAAGTCAAGGAAAGTTTATTCAGGGAAAGAAACTCACTTTGTTGATTACCAGAGGAAGGAGGGAGAGGGAGGAAAAATCTCAGACTATTTGGGGGTCACATGTTGATTTGCATAAGGGCAGGAATGTGTGGAAAGAGTCTGTGATGAGTATGGTGACATTGGGAAAAGGAAAGACACTGAAATGTACACAAAAGATATAGACAACAGAGGCAAATGCTATTACAGGCACAACACTGCAGCATCACTAGCACCAAATAACAAGCTAAGGATTAAAATATAGACAGCTGAGAAAAGCAGGTGGGGGTAGGTGAACAGGAATATACACTAGACCAAGAATAGATTTGGCTAAAGACAATTTTACATATGTACTCGTGCTACAAAATTAGCCACATACATTACAGAAGCAACAGAAGACAGGGTGGGAGTAACTTTGTAGAGACAACCAAGCATCTTGTGAGAGAGAATCACAAGGCCTGGGGTTTTGGGACCACAGTCTCGGGGGGACAGCACACTCAATTGGCACACATAGTTTATAAAAATGTTGTTCTACCACCTAATTTGATGATTAGTGACTGGGGTCTTAAAAGCTTTTGAGCAGTCATCTAAGATGCAACCATTGATCACCTCTAGAATGGAGGAAAGAAGAGTGAAGAAAATCAAGGTCATCTCGAAACAATTAGTCCAAAGATAAGCTGGACCACAAGGACCTCAGCTTTCATGACCTGAGACCAGAAGAACTAGATGGTGCCTGGCTACTAATACCTACAACTCAGAAAGGGATCAAACCTGGAGATCCTGGATAGGGTGGGAGGAAAATGGTGAAACAAAATTTAAAAACAAAAATGACCAGATTGCTGGTTGGATGGAGACTGGTGGAACACTCAAGACTATGGCCCCAGGTCACCCTTCAATCCTGGAAGTGGATTCACTTACATGACTGGCTCTCAGTCTACCAATAGAAAGACCCACATACTGAACACCCACATCAGGTTGATGCACCCACTTACTCTAGGTAGATGCACCCCTTGAATTAATCAGCCATGGGACACCAGAGGTGTAGTATTCTCATAGATGGAAGGCTAGACAGACAGAAATAAATAGATGAGAGGAGCACAGGGAGAGGGTAGGCATGGGGAGGGGAGTTTCTTACAGTCAGGGATGATAATCAGGGCTATGAGACCAGATGTGCATGAACTGTTGAAAGTAAAACAAGTTTTCTATGTAAATTTGCACCCAGAGCACAATTTAAAAAAAGGGAAAAAAAGAAATACATAAGAAAAATCACTGATAAACTAATATTAACATTTCATTTTGATCCTTTCAAAGTTTTTTATAATGTTCATATACAAGTGAAAATGGTTTGTATTCTACACATCATTTTTAACTTGCTTTAATACTTAATAAATCATTAATGTCTTTCTAAGGTAATGAATGTACTCATACACTTATTACTTAAAAATTTTCATCTCTAATGCCAGCTCCTCCATGGGAGGAAGATAAGGCAACCTACTTCTGTAAAGATTTACAACTACAACCTTGGGAACCCAAAGAGGATTGTAATGAGTCAGAATCGACTGATGGCAATGGGTTTTTGTAGTGTATGTCTACATGTAATTCCTATACATAATTAATTCCTGCATATAACTGCAGCATAATTATTAATCACTCCATTATTTTTGCATGTTTAAGTTGTTTCTATTCTTAATACTATACACTCATGTAAACAGAACCCAAAAGTATTATGTTTAAATGAATGTATTAGATAGTTTGTAGCAAAGTAGGGATATTAAGCAAAAGGCATGCATTGGTCATTAGTGACCATCATTAGTATTACCTGATAGAAATATTCTAACCAGAAATAATCACACTCTGAGAGAAGATTGTATTGCTTTCTTTTGGAATAACCTTAAATTAAATCATAATAGCAGTCACAATATTCTATTCTTTGTCACATTACAATTATTGTATGTGAAAAAATCAAGGGACAACATAGCATCTCCCCGAAAACCAGATGTTCAAATCCAAGGCAATGTCTTTAGAGATATCTAACCAGTTGCCATTGATTTGATTCCAGCTTTTGGTGACGCCAAGTGTGTCAGAGTAGAACTATGCTCCAAGGAATTTTTGATCACTGATTTTTCCAACAAAGATCATCAGACCTTTCTTCTGAAGTGCCTCTGGGTGGACTCAAACCTCTAACCGTTAAGTTAGAAGCTGAATGTGTTAACCATTTGCCCAATCCAGGGACTCCTTATAGATATTTAGAGCTACTGATTTGTCTTGTAATCATATTCATTTCTCTTAAGAGCAAGTTTTTGGATGATTTCCAAATATATGGAGTAGGATTCATTTGTAGAAAAGTAATGTTTTAAAATACATAAAAATCTTGAAAATTATTTATGTAATTATTTTAGTTCAATTTTCTTCTTCCATACTTGAATATTAACATTATTTTTTTTCCTTTTAAAATATTTTCACCATAGAATATCTTGAATAAAATTTCATTTTTTTGCCTATTTACATATTCTTATCATTGCCACACTCATAAAAAGACATCTTTGATTCTATATGGTGGACAAATAACTAAAGTTGAACACATTATTAAAACCTTTTTTATTAAAGGATATAATGCACTTCATGCGGCTATTAGGGAATTAAAAAGTCATCAGGACAGATATATGTGCAAACATTCCCTCTTGTGGTTAGAGCATAAGTCAGATGGGCCCCTCAGGGGCAAGAAAATGCCTAATAGTGTCGAGTGAGAATTTGCTAATTTTCTGAGATATAATCCAGCAATTTATACTCTGAGCCTAGATAAATGTTTTGTAAAATCTGTCTAGTGTTGGATCACTTTTAAAATTTTTTCAGTATGCAACTTTCTTTCAGAAATTAACAATCAGAACTTTAGTTCTGAGTAAAGAGATGTCTCCAGAATTATAGTTACTGTTATTAAAGGAGCTCCTTACAAGAGAGGTGGAAGAGTGTGTAGTATTTAATTAATTTGTTGACCAGATTTGCCTGGTCTTCCCATACCTACCCATGAGTCAAAACTTTCTTCTTCCCCAGAGTTCTCCGGAGAGCTGCTTTGACCTCCTTATTCCGTAAACTATAGATGATGGGGTTGAGCATGGATGTCACCACTGTATAGAAAAGGGCTAGGAGTTTATCTATTCCTGGTGAATGGCTAGCTTTAGGCCTCAGGTAGGTGACAGACCCTGATCCATAGAAGAGTGTTACTACCAGTAGATGAGAAGAACAGGTAGAAAGAGCTTTATGTCGTCCTTCAGATGAGGGCATGACCAGCACAGCAGCTAGAATTCTGCCATAGGAAGCAACGATCAGTAAAAACGGGCTGGAAATGCAAAGGATGGCCACAACAAAAACTGCAGCCTCATTATGGGATGTATCCCCACAAGCAAGTGCCAGGATGGGTGGGAGGTCACAGAAGAAGTGGTCTATCTCACAAGGGCCACAGAAGTCCAAGGAGAAAATATAGTTGGTCTGGCCCAGACCAACCATGCATCCTACTCCCCAAGAAACCAATGCCAAATGGGCACATACACCACGACTCATCTGTGTTGCATAGTGAAGTGGAGAGCATATGGCCATATAGCGGTCAAAAGCCATGGCAGCCAAAAGACAGCATTCACTAATAGCAAATAATGTAAAGAAAAACATCTGTGTAGCACAGCCCTCCAGAGAGATCCCTCGAGCCTCACTCACAAGACTCTGCAGCATCTTGGGTATGACAGAACAAGTATAGCCAATCTCCAAGAGAGACAAGTTGGCCAGGAAGAAGTACATGGGAGTGTGGAGGACTGGGTTGGTCCAGATAGCGAGGGCTATGAGAGCATTTCCTGTCAGTGATGCTAAGAACATGAGTAGGATGAGGGTAAACAAAAGAAAACACTGCTCAGTGACCTCAGAGAATTTGGCAAATGCAAAACGTTTGACAGACATGCTATTTTCCTGCCACAAGGAGCAATTGAGGTTCATGACCTGGAAAAGAGAAAGGCAAAGTCATCAGAAGGATTCTTTCAGATAAGGGAGAGAAACTGTTATATTACTTTTAAAGACCCCTTGTAAGTCAGAGAGATAATGAAGTCCACAATTTCTTACACGCAATTCTAAAATTCAAAACTTCTGAAATGACACTCATTCTCACACAGATTCAAACCCAATTCTCTTCTATTTTTACTATCTCAACAGATCTATCCAAAATATACTTAGTCACTTGAGCTTAAAATGGAAAAATGCTAAGAAAAAAGAAAAAATAGATCTCAGGAGGTCAGTTCTTTCTTCATCACCACCTTGAATTAAATTAATATAAAAATAAGTGTCTTCTGATATCTCTCATATCTATCCATGTCTCTTCATTTCTATTGACACTGATTTTATTTCTTCACTTATTTATTCAATGACTATTTATTGACCACAGACTATTTGGCAGTTACTGCTTTCAGTCCAGAAACTCTGGTGGCATAGTGGGTAAGACATTTGGCTGCTAACCAGGAGATCAGTGGTTCAAACCCACTACCCACCAGCTGCTCTGTGGGAAAAAGATGAGGCAATCTACTTTCATAAATATTCACAACCTTGGAACCTCAATGGGGGTTTCTATGAGTTGGAATCTAATCAATGGCAATAGGTTTTTGTTTTGTTTTGTGTTTTTATTGCTTTCAGTCCTAGAACTCAGTAATGAACCAAAATCAACATCTCTCCCCACATGAAGCTTATAATTTAGTGAAGGAAAGCAGAAATTAAATAATCATTTAATACATAAATAACTGGTGCAATGCATAGAATTAAAACCAAGGTATGTGCTGGAGACTGAGTGATCTAGGGGGCTCCTAAAGATGAGCGCCATGAGCTGAGATGTGAATGACAAGGAGGGGCAGCCATCCGAAGACTCTACCACAGCCATTCATATCCTATCTACACTACTGAGAATATTTCATCACTATAACTAATTGTTTTACCTTCAATAGTTCTCATTTGTAATCCTTTTCTAACAGAGTAATTTTTCACTAAATGAAAAATATGATAGTCTGAAACTTTCAATTCATGTTTCTTAATGTGATTCGTAAAAATCATCTCTGGATCAGGTCACTAGCTATGGATACAACCTTCTATCTCACTCCTTACCCAAATTAATCCCATGTTACAGTCATCAAACAACTTGCATTTTTTAGTACATGCTTCACTCACACTTATCTTTGTAATTTTTTTCAGGGGGCTTGAAATGTACTTCTCTAATTGTCCACTTGTTGAACTACTGAACTACATATCTATGTTCAAGTTTAAGCATAGTTTTGTCTCCTCTTTGGAAACTTTTCCTAATTCTCCCCCCTGCTAGTCAGTTTCACATCCCTCTACCTCATCACTGCTGAGGGAGTCCCTGGAGATGAAAGCCATGAAGTGCTTGGCTACTAACTGAGAAGTTGGTGGTTCAAACTCAGCCAGAGGGGTCTTGAAAGAAAAGCCTGGTGACTTGCTTCTGAAAGAGCAAAGCCTTAAGAACCCTTTAGAGTGCAGTTATACTGTGCATAGGGAGCTCTGGTAGTGTAGTGCCTAAGGGACTTGACTGCTAACCAGAAGTCTGGAGGTTCAAACCCACCAGCCACTCCTCAGAAGGAAGATGGGGCAATCTACTTCCATAGTGATACTGCCTCG